AGAGAGAGAGAGAGAGAGAGAGAGAGAGAGAGAGAGAGAGAGAGAGAGAGAGAGAGAGAGATGAAACAAAAATAAGACGCCATCAGCGAGTGTTGCCGTGGCGGGGTCCACTTGTGTCCCTAAATCTATAATACCTATTTGCTAAGCTACCCCTATCCGAGGTGAAAAAACACAGCACAAGAAACAGAGTTGGAGCACGGACACAGACATAGACTCAAGACTTCAACACACATGCATGCATCGTCAGCAGGACACAGACACAGAAAACACTGCAAAGCAAATTTATACTCGCAGTCTCTGCCCAGCAGACCAAAGGACAGCAATGACATCATTGGCCAACAAACATCACCTCCTATTGCTATTGCTATTCAGAGAATGTGTGGGTGGAGGAGTGGATCTCAGAGTAGGTTCTGCCAAAGTGTTTTGATATCCTGAATGGCCATCGTGCTCGATTGATTTGCCTCTGCACTTGCTATACCTGGCATCCAATCCGGATGCACAAGGATTGGAATTCTTGGCTCCAGCACACAGATCCACTTCTATATACCCAAGAATGCGACACATGTTCCTAATGATTGCGGCTGACCCTGAGAATGCAATCTGGATATCCCGCCATGGTACTGATTCCACACATCGTTCATGGCACTCTGAAATGTTATGGTTGCGTTTGTCTGCCCAAACGCCATACTAGTGAGCTCTCCTAGTTGCCCTACGCAGTCCGCAATGCTGCTTTGTGCTGAGCTGAATGCTCCACCTCAATCTGATGGTGTCCGCTCTTCACATCAGTTCTGCAGAAAAAAGCTTGCAGCCATGTATCCCGCCGAGCACATAGTCAATCTGGGGCAATGGCTTGACGTTCTGAATTGCGAGGTTGTTCATCCCTGTGTAATCAATGCATATGGGTGCTGCTCCATCTATCCTGGGCATGAGTTAACCCCACCAAACTGACCGTTTCTGTGTACTCCATGACATCTGCCCCGGCCTGCTACAAAACTTTGGAATCCACCCACTCTTTGGCAGTGTTGACCATATCTAGTCTCCACAGCCGTCCATTCATGTCGTCGTCTCTCTCCCTTCAACTGAGGTGGTTGATCTAGATTAGGCGATGGGGATAGCTTGCCCTCCGCCTCATCGGATGCCCCCAGTCCATGGGGTGGACTCTGCATCTCCTTTGGGGAGGAAGACCTCTTCATTGCATTCGCAAGACCACACAATTGTGAGAAGATCTTGTTGATGGACGCCTTCAGCACAGCTATGTCCTGTGCAAACTGCAGGACTGTCACCGCCTGCAGCTTAGAGTCTTGAGCTGTAGCAGGCCCTTTCAAAGCCTACTTCAGATCAGATGCCTGCCTTCTTTCAGCCTCCTGTAATTCCGTGATCTGTTCATTCATCTGGTTTCTCCTTGTGTCCAACTCCTCCTTCGTTGGCTTCTGTTCCCTCACCCTCACCGCTCTGTTCTTTCTCCCTGTTTTTGGTGGCATGCTTCTGGCAACAAGTATCATGTATAAAGTTATAAACTAGTTGTACAGCGCCTCCTTCCTCTCACCACTCGCTATCAGCATCACACATTCCTTGGCACCTCCTTTCACTTTCCTTGCAAACTATCAACTACAGGAGAAAGGCCTTCTGAACGGTACCCAAGACCATTCAAGTTTGATGTGGTGCTGAGATGGCACTGACGTACTGGGGACATGGTGCTGATGTATGCGGAGGTGGTGCTGAAGGACGCTTTGCGCTGGATAAGCCGACCGACATTGTAAGAGGCCGCTTTATCTTCAAAACAGTCCAAAAAGCTATGCAGGTCATACTGGAGATGATTGCAATGATCCTCGCAAGATTCAACTCAAAATACAACATGCAATTGAGAACATTAAGATGACGTTCACACAAGCTTGAGCGGTGTCCATGAACAGTGC